ACCCCATCCCACCATTTTGTTGAGCTCTAACCAGCGCCACCCCTACGCCAAAACACCAAAATATTTGGCGTTGATGAACAGTGCCACGCCATATATGGCGCGGCACTGTTCATCAACGGCAAATGTGGGAGGGGCTACAAAATTACCTTCCTATCCTTATTTCTTATTCTTATTCCAAATCTATCCTTATTTGTTTTATATCTACTTTTGTATTTTGTTAAATACTTATATTTAAAGTTTGTAATAATAAATATAAATTATACCATTTTAAAGCCCTCATTGAAGCGATCGAAACAAGACTAATATTGAATATATATTAATTAAAATTTCAAATACATGTTTTATGTTAAATGTACTACATGTTTTATGCTATATTATTATTGTGGAATGAACTTGTTGACTCAAAGTATTTTGTCAAAGTTATGTGCAAAAAGAATTCCAGTTCTATAAAGGAATATCAGTCCTAAGAGGAATAGTTATTGAAGAATACTAGTTCTAAGGGGATTTGTTGTTGAAGATTTTCTATTTGTATTTTGATTAGGAATAGTTTGTTATTCACGAATCTGGTAGGAATAGCTACTATAAATAGGGGTTTTCCTTTAGTGTAGATTTCAAGCATTCAACATTAATCTTGTGAGGTACGAGAGTCTTTGAGAATAGGATACTAAATTCCCCTAGAAAGTAGTACATGTGTTTAGGTTTCAATAGTTTGGTATGAAAGATCATTCTATTGTGTAATCTCAGGTTCCAAATAGTGTACTTTAAATATTGAGCTTTTAGTGGATTTAGCAAGTTCTCAAATTGAGAAGTGCCTCGTAGATTAGGGTTGTTTGCCCGAACTGCGTTACAAATCGTTTGTGTTACAACGTCAGTGCTGCGTGTTTGCAAATTTCAATTGGTATCAGAGCCAAACTGCTTAAATTATTAGCAGGATCCTAATGGAGTTTCCCAGAAAAGGACTGTCAAGCACCAGACCCCCTGTTCTCTTTGGTACAAATTTCTCCTACTGGAAAGCTAGAATGAAAATCTATATTTTGGCACAAGGAGGAAGAGTTTGGGAAGCCGTTGAGAAAGAATGGAAGAATCCAGTTGATGATAAAGGTAATCAAAAACCTAAAACAGAATGGAACGAAGAAGAGCGAAGAAAATATAATTACAATTCAAAAGCAATGAATGCCATCTATGGAGCGGTAAGTGAATATACTTTCAAACTAATCGCTACCACTGGCTTATCTAAAATTGCATGGGATATACTATGTGATCATCACGAAGGAAATACTTCTGTTAAGCAATCTAAGCTGCAAATGATACAAACACAATTGGAGAATTTACAAATGGAAGAAGATGAGGATATCTCACAGTTTAGTGAAAGAGTTTTAGGGATTGCTAGAGATGCGTTTAACCTAGGCGAACCTATTCCTGAACCTAGGCTCGTCAAAAAGGTCCTACGTTCCCTACCTGAGAGATTTATGATAAAGGTTACAGCCATCCAAGAAAACAAAGATCTAAACACCTACAAACTCAGTGATCTAATGGGAAATCTTCAAACATATGGGCTTGAGATACTACAAAAGGAAAAAATAATGACAAAGGAATTGCGCTCCAATCAAAGCAGAAAGAGAGTCCAGAAATTGATACTGAAACCATGGAACAATCTTTTTTTTTGCTTTTGAAACCATGGAACAATCAATTGCTCTCCTAACAAAGAATTTCAACAGAGTTCTCAAAAAATTCAACAAATTTAGAAGCAAAAGTTCTTCAATCAATCAAGGAAACTTCCCAACTAGACAAAATCAATCTATTTCAAAAGGAAGGGAGAGTCCAAAACCTGAAGGAATTCAGTGTTACGAGTGCAAAGGGTTTGGACACATCCAGTCAGAATGTCCAACATACTTTAAAAGGAAGAACAAAACATATGTGACAACACTAAGCGATGACTCAGATAGTGAAGAAGACACCAACACTAATTTCGTAGCATTCACCGCAAATCATGAGAATGATAACGGAAACGAAAATGATATGCAAGAACTGCTAGAGTCATATACCCAATTGCATGCTAAATGGGAACAAATCATCAAAGTGAATCTAGAGCTCATGCAAGAAAATCAGTTTCTAAAAGGTGAAAAAGAGAGAGAAGAAAAATGCCTCAAAGAAACTCAAAATGAATTATTAGAATCTAAAAACAGAGAGGCCAAACTGTTACAAGAAATCAAGGCACTAGATGGAAGGCCTAGATCTCCAAATCCAGCGCCCAGTGAAAGCCACTCTTCTGAAAATCCTGAGGTGTCACAACATCACTTTCAACACCGAAGGAGAATCATATGCTATTACTGCCACAGATTGGGACACATAAAGGCGTACTACTTCAAAAGAAAAAATGATCTCTATTACAGACAAAACAACAGAGATTGGGCAGTACAAAGCAAAAATAACAGCAAGAAAGTATGGGTAAGAAAGGAACAAACACAAGTTGTTGCGTATACCTCAGAAACAAGCCAAGAACAAAGTGTTTGGTATTTTGACAGCGGATGTGCAAGACATATGAAAGGAAATCCACATTATCTTGAGAATATCCAGTACAAAAATGAAGGGCATGTCACTTTTGGAGATGGAGGAAAAGGACATATTATCGCAAGTGGTACCTTGAATGTCCATGGACTACCCAGATTACCAAGAGTTTTTTTCGTACAAGGACTCAAAGCAAACCTTATCAGTATAAGTCAACTGTGTGATGATGAACTCAAAGTAGAATTTTCCAAAGAGAATTGTAAAGTCTACAACCAAAAACATGAATGTGTTATGGGAAAAGATCATCTGATAAAAGCTACACATGGGATGGTGATCTAACCTGTCATTAATCTACCATCAATCAAACACCACTGTGGCATCAACTAAGGGGGAGAAAGACAGAGACCAAGGTGTTTGCCAAAAATTTGACAAAGGGGGAGAATGTTGACTCAAAGTATTTTGTCAAAGTTATGTGCAAAAAGAATTCCAGTTCTATAAAGGAATATCAGTCCTAAGAGGAATAGTTATTGAAGAATACTAGTTCTAAGGGGATTTGTTGTTGAAGATTTTCTAGTTCTATTTTGATTAGGAATAGTTTGTTATTCACGAATATGTTAGGAATAGCTACTATAAATAGGAGTTGTCCTTTATTGTAGATTTCAAGCATTCAACATTAATCTTGTGAGGTACGAGAGTCTTTGAGAATATGATACTAAATTCCCTTAGAAAGTAGTACATGTGTTTAGGTTTCAATAGTTTGGTAAGAAAGATCATTCTATTGTGTAATCTCAGGTTCCAAACATTGTACTTTAAATATTGAACTTTTAGTGGATTTAGGCAAGTTCTCAAATTGAGAAGTGCCTCGCAAATTAGGGTTGTTTGCCCGAACTGCGTTACAAATCGTTTGTGTTACAACGTCAGTGCTGCGTGTTTGCAAATTTCAGAACTAAATTTTCAAAAATATTGTTAATTTGATTTTTGAAAATAATTAATGTTATGAAAAAAAATTAATATTTTAATAAAAATTATTATTTACATCACAAGTTATGTTTTATATTAAACTAATTAAGTTCGAACTAAATTATAGTAAACTAATTAAATTCGAATTAATAATTGAGAAATTAAATTATTTTAGTATAAAAATTTGATGTTTTGGTGTAAATGGATTAGTGATAAATAAAATTGGGTGTGAAAATATGCTGAAAATATTCCTTCTGATGTGACATTTAATGAAAAAAATTAATATTTTAGACTTAAGTAGGTTGGAGATGCTATAATTGTGCATTTGTGCTACCCATTCATTGGGTGATTATTGATTATTGATGGGGCAGCCATGCTGTAGCGTTTAGAGATGAGTCAGAGAAAGTCAACCTCACTGCAAGTTGGGGACAACATATATAAACCACAAAACATAAATACACCCAACACCTTTTTTTTTTTTTTTTTTTTTTTAAATATCATACTAGCGTGAGACTGTTTTACGAATCTTTATCAATGAAACAGGTTGGGTCGAGTTGAATCAATATGCAAATGTAATACTTATACTAATAAATGTAATACTAAATCAAGAATAAAATGTTTATTACTTATAAAGGAAACGTAATACTTTTGACACAAATGGAATATTTTTATATTTTAATGTAAAAGTTTTACTTTTTTTTTTTTATCAAAAATATTATATTTTTCTATTAAATAATGTTGCACTTATAAAGGAAAATATAATATTTTTGATGAAAAATGTAATACTTTTATATCAAAATGTAAAAGTATTACATTTTTCTTCAAAAATATTATATTTTTCTATATAAATAATAAACATTTTATTCTTGATGTAGTATTATATTTGCTAGTATAAATATTACATTTCATTTTGACCCGACCCGTATCACGGACAAAGATATGTGAGATGGTCTTACATAAGTTTTTGTGAAAAAAAATTCTCATTTTTATTGGTTACTTATTTTAAATATTACTTTTATCTTATTTAATTTTCGTTAAGTTTGGCGATTTATCAATTTTTGTATTGATCGTATTTTTTTTTTCTCTAAAAGTGCTGAGATTGTTCAGGCCTACAATTTTGGATTGAAAATATAAGGTATTTTAACTTTTTTTTACTAGAGATTTGGTTAAAATGACTAAATGAGATAGAAATAAAATTGTGTATAAAAAGTCACAAAATTGATAAGTAGAGATCAAGATGTGAAAGCTCCTAAAAAGAGTGATTGAGTAGGCGGAGTATGATTATCGTAATTAAAAATAGAATATTCTTTTAGTTGAGCCCATCGCACAAGGTCTTTTTAATGAAATTTAACTTTCTTATATAGTTTGCGGGTTATTACACATGAGTGAGGTTTTTATCTCGTGCACACCTCTAAATGTGGTTGCGATTTCCCTCGTTATCGAAAAAGAAAAAGAAGTGAAATTAAATACTGTGCAGTGGGGTGAAAGTGAAAACAATTTAAGAATTTTTATGTAATAAATCCGGGCAGATATGCATATGTCGGCCTATCCCCATATCAAACTTATCACTTAACTCCAACTCTTACATACTAAAATATTTCATCGGAGCTCCTTGGCTATGGCGGTGGGGGATATCCCAGAGATGAAGTCGCAACTCCCTCCAGGTAATAATTTTTTCATGGCTTCTTTCTTTGGTCATCAAACTGGGAAATTTTCATCTAAGTATATGGTAGTTCTTTGCTACTTAGATCATAGGTAGACTTCACTTAAAGTTAACTTTCAAGTAATATTTATAGACTTTTTCGTAAATCAAAGATATATATATGATCTGCTCCCTTATATGAAATTCTATCTTTCATCTCCTTTGTCGGTTTATTTGTTATTTTATTTGTATGGCATCATTTGAGATATTGTAGAATCTTTTCTCTTATTTGTATATTAAGAGTACTTTTAAAAAAAAAATCTGTGATGTAATTCTCTCTCTATATGTGTGTATGTACTATGTATCGCCGTATCGGCATATAAATTTCTATATAAGCATTCATATATCGCTGTATCGGCATACAAATTTTCTATACAAGCATTCATATGTCATTCTGATTTAATTTGGTATTCAACTCTTGAATAATTTTTTAAAAACTTTTTTTTGGCTTGGGCCATATATAATATATAAGAATAAAATGGAATAAATAATTTGTCCAAATCCATCACAGTTCAAACAACATGTTGCAAGTTGGAATGGTTAGCTGGGGTCATCCACTAATAATAATCAAAGTTATTATTCTCATGATTTCCTACTGCTTTTAAACTTGACTTGACTTGTTTATATGTGATTAGAAGATCATGATTAGATCTCTATATGTTTGGTAAAGAGAATAATCTTCTCATTTGAGAATAATAATAAATGGACAGTGTTCAATTATTGGAACATGAAAACGTGACTCAATTGGTCCTAATTACTCTTCAGGGTGGAGTGGAAGAAGAGAGGAGATTATCGAATGTAGAAAATGATCCAATATCAATATATATATATATATATATATATATATATATATATATATATATATATATTCTTTTAATAGTATTTTTTTAGTCTTTTAATAGCATTTTTTTTTTTGTCCATAACGATGAAATTTTCTTACCTCGAGAACTCTCATATTTTCGCTCGACAAAATAATAAAGTGGTAAATTATGGTGATACAACAACCCTCATCAAGTGAAATGACTAATATCTTGTGTCCACAGAGACTAATCACATTTAGTGAGTAAAATTTGTACATGTGACCCACGAGTTATACTCTTTTGGGGTGTTTGGTAGAGAGGAAATGCAATTCCTTACCTACTTAATTTCACGAAGTGAAAAATTTCAGAGTGTGGTTAGAATTACAAATTCTCAAATTTGATGAATTGCAAATCCCACTCAACCTAGGAATTGCAATTCAATAATATATGGAAAGAAAGTTTGGAGTGTGAGGTCCCTAAATTCACAATAGATGATTTTTTGGTGGTTCTTTGTGGGGACCATGCGTATGTGGAGGAGAGAGAAATAGGAGAGAGAATGTAATGGTTCGAGGTGTGATTTTTTGTCTGAACACGTGGGGCCCGTGAGATGACACGCCACTCTCATGTTTGCGCGCAAGATGGGGCGTGTAAAAGCTTTTTGTTTTAATTTTTTTTCCCTCTAACAGTTGTTTTCTTTTAAAAATGAAAAATAACAAAATTGCTTTTGTTCTCTCTCCTCTTTTCTTGTAATTTGACAAAAACTTCTCAAAATCTATGCATAATGAGGATGTTCTAATGCTATCCTTATATCTACAATACTCTCTAACTTTAAAAAATGGATCCTACTTAGCTTCCAAATCATCAAATTTACAATCATTTACTATTTTCTCTACATCTCTCAATTTCAACTCACTTTAAAAATGGGTCCACATTTCACATAACATTAAAAAATTATTATCTTTTATCAATGCTATTAGTATTTGAATTATTAAAAGTGGTAACTAAAAAATAAAAAATAAATAACAATAAAAAACAAAAAAAAAACAAAGACTCCTTCTCCACTCATGACATTGTATTTTTCCCAATTTTCAAGATTTGCAACCTTGCTAAAATCTTGCAAGGACGGTAAGCCACGTCATTTAAAAAATACTTTTAATTTTTTTTTAAAACAATACTTTTAATTTATAAATAGTAAATGTCACTTTGAAGGGGAGTAAATTTTCAGGATAAAGATAATCTAGTTATCCTGCATCTTTCATTATGAATTGCAATTACACATGTATTTTAGTCTTTATACAATTTATTTTCTTTTAATTTCATATATACAAAAATACTATAATTGAAATTTTTAATAATTATATGAAGTGCTTACCAAACAATGTAATTCGACAAAGCGTTTGAAAGAAATGAATTAATAAGGCTAAAATATTTTTGTATAATAATAATTAATGTTCAAAAAGATGCTAGGCGCCTAGGGGGCACTTAGCACCTATGGTGCCTAGGTGACCGATTTATTTTTTTTATTTTCTTTTGTCATGTGAAGCAATTGAAAGAAAAAAAATCATGGGTCGTTTGGTTTAAGGAATGTTAAATTACCTTAGGAAATGTTAGATTACTTTAGGGAATGTTAGATTGCTGAGAATGTTAGATTCATGTGTTTGGTTAAAACTGAGGTATGTAATATAAACCTGTTTGGTTTAAAGGTGATCTTTTATGTTATACTAATTTTTTTACTCTAATACCCTTAATATATTTGTATGTATTTCAATAAACTAGCTTCAAAATTAAAATAAATTAATTAAATAAAACAATGGTAACAAATATAAGTACATGATTTAAAAATACGGAGTAATTAACTAAGAGCTTGAACTTGAGAAACAAAATTACTTTATAATCTAACATGACGTAATAAAAAATAAAATAAAATATATAATTACAAAAATAATTAAATATGAAATCTATAATAAGCTAACATAAAATATATATTTCATAATAATTATAATTAAAATAGCAAAAGAGCATGAGAATGTTAGATTACCTAAGATTTGTAAGGGAATCACATTCCCTTACAAATCCTATGTGGAGGGCATATTATATTCCTTGGGGAAAGTTACCTTCCCTTAGGAAAGTAAGATAACATGAACCAAACATGGGAATTTGACATTTCAAAGCTCACATTCCCTTGATTATGTTATATAACTTGAACCAAACGCCCCTCATTGTCCTGAACCAATTCATAAGGAGAAAGCAACAGAAGCAACAGTGCCTGCAAACATAGCCTACATGTATCTCTCCGACAACTCTCCGGCGATTCCAATTACAGTGCCATGAACCATCCCGTTGGCGACTCCACACACAAATAGCAACCCCACAGTTACATAGAACCCACCATAGACGCCGAAGTTACTCTTCACGTAGAAAGCATCCACCAACGGGCAGCGGCACGCTGACGAGAGTCGCCGTGAATAGGGCCAAGCCGGCGTTGATCATCGCTGACGGCCGCTATCTGTGCGCGAAGGCGACAACGAAGGATTGCAGATCGGCGAGTGGGGAGTGGGGGGAGACGGTTTGGTCAAGTCGCGAAGAATATTAACGATGATTGATATCTTGTGGACTGACTATATCTTCTGTTGTATTAGTTGCTTTTAGTCCTGTAGAATAGGTCATTCAGTTGTTGTAGCTACCTCCTATTTATGCTCATGTCTCATCCTATTTATACCATGTATCATTTGTATTGTGAATATACAATTTACAGTTTCCTTCATGGTATCAAGAGCCTAAAAACTCAAACGAGAATTTTTTTTCCCCTTTCTTTTTCCCACAATCTTTGACATGGCTGTTACTACTGATACCTCCACCTCCACCATCGTTCATCTTAATGCTCCAACTCACTTTCCCATAAAATTGACTACCTCCAATTTTCCAGTTTGGAGACGACAGATTGAGTCTACACTAAATGGACTTAATCTAGATGGATATATTACCGGTACGGTAAAAGCTCTGGCTCAATAACTTGGTGATACCCAGACCGGTATTAATCCAGCTTACACACTCTGGTTCAGGCAAGATCAAATACTAGTTAGCGCCATTTTGGGTAGTTGTTCAGATACTCTTCAACCACTGATCTCCTCTGCACCTACAGCTCATGATGCATGGAAAAGGTTAGCATCAAGCTGTGCTGCCACATCTCGTGGACGAGTAGTTTCGCTCAAAGCGAAGCTTGCAAAGAATCCGAAAGGTTCAAGAACCATTATTGAATATCTACGCGATATGCGTGCCATTGCAGATGACTTGGCCCTTGTCCAAAGCCCTGTCTCTGATGAAGATCTCACTGTTCATATCATTACGCAGCTTGGGGATGAATACAACGCCATTGTTGCTGCCATTCGTGTGAGAGAAACACCTATATCTCTAGGTGAACTGTCTGATGTGCTCACTGATTTTGAACGTGTTTTGAAAGAGGGAGATGCCACCCAGCAAGTTGGTATGGTTACTGCCAATGTAACAACAAAACGAACCTCACATATGTCATCTGGTTCACATAATGCTTCTCGTGATCAAAATGGTTCGTTTAATTCCCGAAGACCTCGAGGTGATTTTAATGGACAGAATGGCCGAACAAACAACCAAGGAGGTTTTAATGGCAACAGTGCTCGTTCGCAGCGTTATTTCCGGTTTTGTGATTTTCCTGGTCATGATACTCACTTCTGCCGTAAGCTTGCTAAGTTCTTAAAAGAGAACAATATTCATGTTGTTGAATCACAGGTGTCCACCTTTAATCAACGACCGGTTGTAAACACCACCATGGCGTCTACTATGATGCAACCACCTTGGGTTGTGGATACTGGGGTTTCTCATCACACCGTTTCTAATCCGAATTCCCTACAATCTGTTGCTGATTACTCTGGTCCTGATGAAATTATGCTAGGGAATGGTAAGTCGCTTCAGATCACTCATACTGGTCATACTTTTCTTTCTACTCCATCCTGCAAGCTTTCCTTTTCAAATGTTCTTTGTGTTCCCAACCTTAATAAAAACTTGATTTCGGTTTCTAAACTATGTAAGTCTAACAAGGTTTCGGTTGAATTCTTTGGTTCCTATTTTCTTGTGAAGGATCTGTACACGGGGGCGCAACTAATGCGAGGGGAGACAATGCATGATATATATTATTTTCCAAGATTTTCTTTCCCTCAGGTTCATATCACGAACAAGATTTCTGTGTCGGAATGGCACCATAAACTGGGTCATCCATCTAATAAAATACTAGCCTCCATTCTCCGTTGTAATAAAATTGCCTATGATTCTAAATCTGTTCTTAGTCATTCATGTACTTCCTGCAACATTAATAAGAGTCACAAATTTCCATTTTTCTCTAAATCTATGTCCAGTTCAAAACCTCTTCAACTTCTTTACACGGATGTTTGGAGTACTAAAGATGTTTCCATTGACGGTTTTCGTTATTACGTTGTCTTTATTGATCATTATACTAAATATATCTGGTTCTACCCCCTCAAACTCAAGTCTGATGTTTATAATATCTTTCCACAGTTTAAGCGACTTGTTGAAAAATTTCTTGGATGTAATATTATTTCAATTTTTTCTGACAATGGGGGGGAGTGTAAAAAGTTGATACCTCTGTTTAATAAACATGGTATTTCTCACTTTACCTCTCCGCCTCACACCCTAGAGCATAATGGGTCAGCAGAGAGGCGTCATAGGCATATTGTGGAAACCGGCATGTCCTTGCTTCACTATGCCAATATGCCTATATTGTATTGGGTGCATGCCTTTCAAGCAGCCGTTTATTTAATAAATCGGTTACCTACACCTATTCTTCGTAATCAGACTCCGTACCAACGGTTGTTTAATCAGGTTCCTAATTACAATAAACTTCAACCTTTTGGTTGTTCGTGCTTTCCGTGGTTACGCCCATATATGCGTTCTAAGCTGCAACCAAAATCTATTGCAGGTGTTTTTCTTGGTTATTCCCTAAGTCAATCTGCGTATAAATGTTTAGATCCTACCACAGGTCGCATTTATATGTCTCGACATGTTCGGTTCATCCCTGATGTTTTTCCCTTTCATTCTATTTTATCTAAGTCAGGTTCACAGACTCCTAGTTTCACTCACAATGAGCCTAGTGCACTGTATAATCCTTTTCCCACTCACTCGTCAGTTTCGCAAGCCATGCAAAATTCTAATGCCCCTCAACTTGTTTCTACAGTACACAACTACCAAGCCACTCATTTGTCTCCAGCTTATCCTCAAGATCTTAATTCTGAAAATTCTGGGCAAATTCCCTCTACTCACGTGTCTCCCTCATCTCTCGAGTCTTTCTCTACGAATTCTTAAAATTCTTTGTCAGCTGCAAATACTCCAGACTCTTCCTCTACAAACTCTGTGCCCTGTCAAAGTTCTCTACCAACCACCAATACTCAACAGCCTACTGCCACCACTTCTGCCCAATAGCCTACTCCCACCACTTCTGAGTCGCGACCAGATCCAGTGACGGTTGTTTCTTCTCGGCCACAAAGAGTGCGACGCCCCAATCCTTGATATTACAATGATAAGATGGTTAATGTCACTACCTCTCATCCATTGCCTCTATCTGCGGAGCCACGAACTGTTCGTCAAGCCTTGTCAGATGTTCGTTGGAAAGAAGCTATGTGTGCAGAATATCAAGCTCTAATGCAAAATGGAACCTGGGAATTGGTACTGCGGAATGGTCGTGTACCAGTGGCTTGCAAGTGGGTGTTCCGGGTTAAGCAAAAGCCGGATGGTACAGTTGATCGGTTTAAAGCTCGCCTCGTTGCTAAAGGCTTTTTGCAGGAGCCCGGACGAGATTACTTTGATACGTTTAGCCCTGTCGTTAAACCAATTACTATTCGGATAATTCTAACTATTGCTTTGTCACGGGGTTGGACTCTAAGACAATTAGATATCAATAATGTTTTCCTTAATGGCACCTTATGTGAAGATGTTTATATGGAACAACCTTTGGGGTTTGTTGATTCCAAAGTCCCGCATTATGTCTGTCGATTGCGAAAGGCTATTTATGGCCTTAAACAGGCTCCCCGGGCATGGTATTTGGCATTGTCTCAGTTTCTGTTAAACTTTGGTTTTTACAAGTCTGTGGCAGACAACTCCTTATTTGTATTTCGTTCAGGGAAGATAATAATTTATTTTTTGGTTTACGTTGATGACATCGTGCTGACCGGCAATGACTCTACATTTTTGGATGTCTTCATACGTCGTTTGGCTGCCAGATTTTCTCTTAAGGACCTTGGCATACTTCATCACTTTCTTGGGGTTGAAGTTGTTCCCACATCTTCTGGTCTATTCTTCTCACAGAGTCAATATATTGTTGATCTTTTAGAGCAATTTCACATGGCGGGGGCGAAGGAGGTTGCTACTCTGTTATGTTCTTCAACAATTCTCAAACTTGGTGATAGTCCACAAGTTGATGCACAGTTATATCGTCGTGCGGTTGGTCGTTTGCAATATTTGGGTATAACTCGCCCGGATATTGCTTTTGCGGTGAATCGTTTGTCTCAATTTATGCATGCTCCAACTGAACTTCATTGGCAAGCTATTAAACGAGTTTTCCGTTATCTGAAAGGTACTATACATCTTGGTATTTTCTTACGGCGGGGTGTTCCTTTTACTTTGTCTGCTTATTCAGATTCGGATTTGGGGGGAATTCATGACAATGGCAGGTCGACCATGGCTTATGTCCTTTACTTTGGTTCCAATGTTGTTTCCTGGAAGTCCACCAAGCAGCGTTCGGTGTCTCGGTCTTCTACTGAGGCTGAGTTTCGAGCCTTAGCTAATGCTGCCGCTGAAGTCATTTGGGTTCAGAATTTGCTATGTGAACTTGGTATTCCGCTGCGCTACCCCCCACTTTTGATCACTGACAATCTTAGTGCAACTTATGTTTGTAGAAACCCAGTTTTTCATTCCCGTATGAAGCATTTGGCGTTAGACTATTTCTTTGTTCGGGAGCGTGTGGTTGCTGGTTCTTTGCGGGTTGCTCATGTACGGCCTTCTGAGCAGGTTGCTGATTTGCTGACGAAGCCTCTTAGTCGTGGTCCGTTTTTATCGTTTCGGGCCAAGATTGGCGTCTCCGATGGATCCTCCATCTTGCGGGGGCGTATTAAGGATGATTGATATCTTGTGGACTGACTATATCTTCTGTTGTATTAGTTGCTTTTAGTCTTGTAGAATAGGTCATTCAGTTGTTGTAGCTACCTCCTCTTTATGCTCATGTCTCATCCTATTTATATCATGTATCATTTGTATTATGAATATACAATTTACAATTTCCTTCAAAGAATTGTGATTTAATTATTTTTTCATGGGTTATTCGCCAAAACCACATCATTTTGGCAAATAATCATTAATTTCCAAAATGTAACTTGTTTAGGAAGTACATCCATCTAGCATGCATTTTCCTTTAATTTCCAAAATGTAATGCTAACACTACAAGTTTAATTTGAATTCTCAGGAGAGGAAGCTAAGGAAGAAAACGACATTAATGCGAATGATGTTGTTAGTGAGCAATCGAGAAAATTTTGGCGTGGAGGTCAATACAAATGGTGGGCAGAAATGGGCGTGTACTCCATTTTTGTACTGTCTGGCCAGTCTATTGGCACGCTTCTGGGCCGGCTGTATTTCGACAAAGGAGGCAATAGCAAATGGATGGCAACGCTGGTCCAAGTGGTTGGCTTCCCAGTTCTTATCCCTCTCCTCTTCCTCCCATCAACCAAAACCACCACACCACAAGATGACACAATTAGAAGCCCCTCTCCTACGATTGTTGCTCCTCTTTATGTTTTCCTGGGTTTATCCGTCGCCGTAAATTGCATGTTATACACAGTGGGCATAGAATACCTTCCGGTGACCACATATTCGCTCATCTGCGCCAGCCAGCTTGGGTTCAATGCCCTCTTCTCCTTCTTCCTCAACGCCCAGAAATTCACCCCTTACATCGTCAACTCCCTCGTCCTCCTCACCCTCTCTTCCACCCTCCTCGTACTCCAACCCGGCGGCGACGGCGGCGACGCCAAGACCTCCCGGAGAAAGTACATCATAGGCTTCGTGTCCACCCTAGCCGCGTCCGCGGGCTACGCGTTGCTGCTCTCCCTGACGCAGCTGGCGTTCTCCAGGATCTTCAAGAAGGCGGAGACTTTCCGGCTGGTTATCGAGATGACGATCTACCAGTCGGCGGTGGCGTCGGCGGCGATCGTGGCGGGGCTTTTCGCGAGCGGGGAGTGGAGGAGATTGGGGGCGGAGATGGATGGGTTTGAGCTGGGGAAAACCTCGTATGTGATGAACTTGACTTGGACGGCGGTGGGGTGGCAATTCTTCAGCGTTGGGTGCATTGGGCTCATATTTAAGGTCTCATCTTTGTTCTCCAATGTGATTAGCATTTTGGGGTTGCCTATTCCGCCTGTTCTGGCAGTGTTTATTCTCAATGACAAGATGAATGGTGTGAAGGTGATATCAATGGTCTTAGCCATCTGGGGTTTTGTGTCCTATATCTACCAGCACTATCTTGATGATGTGAAAGAAAAGGCCAAGGCTAAGGCTGTTCAGAGAGAACAACAAGTTTCTCAACTTGCTCTGGTTCATACAGTGTAAATTGGTGTAGTAGTAGTAGTTGTTGTCCCATCCAGTTCCAGAATATGCACTCTTTTTAGTTTTATTACTGTTAAGTGTAAGACTCCATAATCAGGTTATAATAATTGCAGGTAACTGAATGCAGTAAAAATATAATATATATGTAATGAAAACTCATGGATATAAACCAACTTAATTGGTTGGGGTGAGTGGCCGTACACTCTCATTTTTTAAGAGAGGTCGAGAGTTCAAAAATCCTCTCAAAACCAATATGCAGGTTAGTACTTTGCTCCTTAATTGAGTTGACTTGTTGCCAAGGAGATACGAATTTAGGGCATTCCCAATAAGGGAATCTTCACCACATTTTACAGGGCGTTTGGTTGAAGGGAATTTAAATCACCTTCCCACTTAATTCTCACATAATTCCAAAGACCATTAAATTCCCTTGTTTGGTTGAAAGAAATTGCAATTCCCCCATTTTCATGGAATTAAAATCCCATGCCCCCCTTGGGATTTTAATTCCGGGGATTTTAGGAAGAAAAAAAGATAGTAATGAGTCAAATTTACCCATTCCTTTTTTAACCTAAAATTAATGTCTAACAACAACAATGGACATTTTTGACTTTATACTACTTATTCCCTTTCAATTCCCATGTATACCAAACATTGAAATTGAAATTCCCATTAATTCTATTCCTGTAAACCAAACACTGAAATTAAAATTCCCACTTTATTCCCAGTAATTCATCTCCCATGGAAATGCAATTCCTTTCCTACGTAATTTCCCATATCCAACCAAACGCCTTGTTAGAATAGTAAAATCTCCTTGGATAAACTTTGACAAATGAAAAAGCAAAATCTTCAGCATATTTTTCTCCTGCATGCAATTCAAAGAACCATGTCAAAAAATTTAAAAAATAAAATAAATAAATAGGCGTAGTTGGCGGCCACTCTGAAATTATATTTACTCTGAAATTATATTTATTTGGCCAGCAACGGCCAATTTTCTGGCCAATGCTGTGCCGTTGCAATTGCAACGACACAGCAAACATTAAATTTTTTTTTTAAATAATTTTTTTTAAGGAATTAATAATTGTTTTTTTATTTTAATTATAAGTTTGGAAATAAAAGCTCGTAATTTTTACGTATGTTCATTTACGTATGCAATTCATTTATGTTTATTATAAAATTATAAATTTATAAATCAAATAAATAAAGAAATAATTAAAATATGTAGATAAAATGGTGGGTCCATAAAAAGTTGTGAAAAAATTTAAAACTAATGGGAAGAAGAGATTTTGTGATTGAGTGAGATAGTGGATGATGGGGTGGATGTTTAGGCCCACAAAAATTTGGGTAAAATTCCCAACTATTGAGGATACCATTAGGGGTCGTTTGGTTCACGGAATGTCAGATTACCTTAGGGAATGTTAGATTGCTAGGAATGTTAGATTCATGTGTTTGGTTAAAATTGAGGTATGTAATATAATCATGTTTGGTTTAGGGTTATCTTTTATACACACTATAATATCCTTAACATATTTTCATATATTTTAATAAATTTAAAAATTAAAATAAATAAATAAGATAACGGTATCATATATAATTACATGATTTTAAAATATTAACTAAAATCTTGAACTTGAGAAACAACATTATGTTATATGCTAACGTAACATTATATATATATATATATATATATATATATATATATATATATATATATATAATAAACTAACATAACCAAGGTTATCTTACATTACTTAAGATTTTAAAGGGAATCATATTCCCTTCAAAATCTTATGTGGAGGGAATGTGACATTCCTTAGAAATGTTAGATTCCCTAAAATAATATGAACAAAACATCGGAATGTGAATTTTGAAATGTCACATTTCTTTAATTATGTAATATAACATGAACCAAACGCCTTAAACTTACAAGATAACTCCTGGTCTGACCAAAAAAGGCTCATGGAGATACCTTTTAAAACTGTTGGCGAAACCACCAGAGAATAGCTATAACGCCAAACTGCGCAAACAGGTGGTCCCAGGTTCCCCTTCATGAATTTGTCTCGGTACAGAAATTATCCTTTGGGTCAATTATAAAATCTGGATGTGACTTGAAATGATCTACAATAATGACATGAATTTGTCTAGCTCGGCACAGAAATTATCCTTTGGGTCAAGTATAAAATCTTGCACGCATTTGTAACTATTAGGCCACTGCTCCAATATTAGTTTTAGGGTGCGTTTGATTCAGGTTATATATATAACATAATGACATTCTAAAGCTAACATTTTCATGTTTGATTCATATTATATTAGGGAATATAACATTTTCAATGAATCAAACATTCCCTCCACATAGGATTTTGAAGGGAATGTGATTCCCTTTCATTTCTTACTATACGTTATGTAAGATAACCTTGGCTATCTATACATTTTGCCATTTTAATTCTAATTATTTAAAAATATATATTTTATGTTAGCTATATATATATATATATATATATATATATATATATAGAGAGAGAGAGAGAGAGAGAGAGAGAGAGAGAGAGAGAGAGAATCAAATGAGGACATTTTCCCACATAAGGAGTGTGGATAAATATTAACCTTAATTATATATTTGGTTGATCTGTGGCTCTGATTTTTTACTGCAAATTTTTTCTTTTTTTAATTCCTTTTTCTCGTCAACATGGATGGGGTGTTTTAATATTTTTCTTTTTTCTTTCCTTTGTTTCATTATTTGGTTGGCGTAATATGTTTGTTTTTAGGAGGTTTAATTATGGTAATTAAAGATTTTTATATGTCATTGGTGATTCTGGTGTCATCTTTTATCTGTTTTGCATATTTTCATTTTTTTTACATACTCAAATTTCATTTCCTTTTGACGTGGGTTTTTGAGTTTTATTTTGGAGTGCTAGTTGCAATAGATTCGCAAGGTATGTCAGTGTTTACGTCTTTATGCAGTAGTTCTATATTATACATCATTGTTCAGTCTATCTGTGATCGTATGCTGTGTTTGTGTTAGCAATGAGCGTTGTGGATGTTGGGTTGTTCATTGCCTTTTGTTTTTTTGTTTGCTTTGGGTCTGTAGGGCTTTGTGTTTTTTATCTGAGAATGTCGTTGGTTTTTATTTATATCTGTTGTTTTTGGTTTTCGCTGTTGGTAGCTATGTGCATTCTTGATTATTGTGTTGGTGCATCGAAAGTATGTTATTTGTATCATCTCGTTTGCTATATTGTACTGTTTTTTATTTTTTATTTTTTTAATTTTAAATGTTTTCAAAACATCAGTCTTCTGTTTGCCGGTTAGTTGTTTTCATTTCAGTTTGTTTGGCTAAGATTGTGGGGGGGGGGGGCGGGGGGGGGTTATTGGTGTATGTTTCTCTCAATTTGATTTAATCTATGGTAGTTCTTGTTTTGGGTGGGGTGTGTGTGGTGCATGGTGTATGTTTTGCCTAGTTGTGTTAGCCCGCAATTTTTTTTTTTTTTTGGGGGGGTTATTGGTGTATGTTTCTCTCAATTTGATTTAATCTATGGTAGTTCTTGTTTTGGGTGGGGTGTGTGTGGTGCATGGTGTATGTTTTGCCTAGTTGTGTTAGCCCGCAATTTTTTTTTTTTTTTTTTTTTTTTTGGGAATGTTTGTTTGTTTTGTCTTTAATCATTGTTTATGGGGTGGATACACGCGTTTTTTTTTTTTTTTTTTTTTTTTTTTTTTTTTTTTGGGAATGTCCGATTGTTCTGTCTTTAATCGTTGTTTATGGGGTTGGGTAAGATGTGCAATTTTGAATACTGTATTTGTGCATAGATTATTTACAGTGTTTACCACTTCTGCTGTTGTATGTTTTTTTTCTTCTATTTTCCCCCCTTTTTATGCGGTTATCTGCCATGCATGTTTTCGTACGTATGTATGAATCTCGTTTAAGTGATTGTGTCCGGATTTTGAAAGCGGGAATGTCTGTGAGTTTTGACTGTAATCATTGTTTATGGGTTTTGGAAATGTTGTTTGATAGGAATATTTTTTGTAATAAAGTTTTGATGAGCCAAATGTACTTTAGATCCTCTTAGAATTTAGGTCTTTAATTAGTACAAGCATCATATATCAGAATGTCAAAGTGAGTATGCAAAGGAAAGTCTACCACATGAAGAACAAAATTAATTTGGAGAATTAATTTTGGTCCTACAAGTATTCATCCGCAACAGAAGTACTAAACGATGGTGTTACAAAGAATAATTGGATGAGCCTAACGGCAAAATGATAGAAGTTCTTACATACAACGATTACACCCGAGATTGATTCGCTCCCAAGGATGCTCTTTATTTTTAAGAACACAATGTGGCCAAATCAGAAAAGCAAGATGTAGCAAGTCAAACAAGCAAGATCTGATTTTTAAAGCACAATGCGTCTCAAAAGAGCAAGATGTGACAAAGAAGCAATATGATCAGAAAATAGATAAATTCGAAAGAATTTATGTTTTTGAATTTATGTTGGTACATCTCACATGTGACAAGAATCCAAATTGCCTGAAGATATGATCAGAACGGTGGAAAATTTATGAAGGCATGGATAAAAAATCTTATCCTATATATAAATTCTATCAGAAGAACTTATTACAAAGAGACGTTGGAAATTCAAAATGGACAAGGAAAATAATATTTTAGAAGCAACTTGAAAATCAAGTTGAAATAAAATATTATCTTGTCAGGCAAGTTGACAATCAAATCAAATTGAAGACCCACCATTGTCAACAATATCAGGCTACAAGATTCAAACTTCAAAAATCAAAATATCCCACTCCAACGGATCGATATATTTGATTATCTATAAAAGGCCATGAAGACTTGAAGAAGAAGAGAACACACAAGAGATAGGAGACACACAATAGAAGCGAAAAAAAAAAAGTTGCAAGTGCTAAATATTCTTTGAAATAACTAGAAAAGAGACTTAGTCTGAATAGTCTCAAAATTAGTTGGAGAGAGATACAATTACCTTTGTATTTGTAATTGTAAAAAGAGTATAGCTGTGTGAAAAATACTCTAATGAGTGTAGCTGTGTGCAAAATACTCTAGTGAGTGTAGCTGTGTGCAAAACACTCGTAGTTGCTAAGTGTAGCTATGTGAAAAACACTTAGTAGGCGTTGAGTATAGCTG